CCCGTGTTACAATATAACACTTTGAAACTACTATTGACGGTCTTGGCCACCACCACCTTCTCACTTAACTTGTTCCAACCGTCTACCACTCTCTTTGCGAAAGAAAACTTCCTATTTTTCGGCACCTTTGTTTCTTTTGCTTGAATCTGTGTCCTGTTGTTCGTGAAGTTGCTGGTTTCAGGAATTCCTCTTTGTCAATGTGGTCGATTCCTGTTAGTATTTTGTATGTGGTGATCATACCATCTCTTTTTCTTCTATCTTCTAGTTTTGGCATGTTTAATGTCTGTAATCTCTCCTCGTAACTCTTGGTTTTTCAGTTCCGGAAGCCATTTTGTAGCATGTCTTTGCACCTTTTCCAGTTTCTTTATGTGCTTCTTGAGATTCAAGAATCACATATAACTGCTGCATATTCCAGTTGTGGTCTCACAAAAGTCATGAACAGTTTCTTTAGTATTTCACCATCCATATATTTAAAAGCAAGTCTGAAGTTGGAAAGCGACACATACGAACACAAGTTGTGTGTGTTCTATTTTCTCTGATTCCACACTCCATAGCGTAGCATTTATTTACATTGAATTCCATTTGCCACTTGACGCTCCAAGCACTTATTTTATCTAGATCAATTTGAAGAGCATTACAATGGTCTGCGTCTCCTGTCTTCCTCATTACCTTAGCATCATCAGCAAACATGTTCATATAATTCTGTATTCCTTCTGGTAGATGGTTTATGTAGACGATGAACATTACTGGTGCAAGAACTGAACCCTGTGGTACTCCGCTAATAACACTCCTCCAGTCAGATACATTGTCTCTGATTACCGCCCTGATCTGTCTGTCTCTCAGAACGTTTTTCATCCATGTCACAAGTCTCCCTGTCACCCCTCCAGCATGTTCCAGTTTCCAGAACAGCCTCTTGTGTGGGACTGTCAAAAGCCTTTTTTAGGTCCAGATAGACAGTCAACCCAAGCATCTCATTCCTGTATCTAACTGTTTGGGGCTCTTTCATAAATGTTAAGTACATTTGTTACACAGGATCTTCCTGTTCGAAATTCATACTGTCTGTCCGTTATTATGTCATTACCCTCTAGGTGTTCAACCCATTTGACCTTAACTATTGTGTCTAGTGTTTTGACTGCCACGCTTGTTAATGATACGGGGCTATAATTTAGAGCTTCCTCTCCACTACCATTTTTATAGATTGGTACTATGTTTACCTTTTTCCCTATGAAGTAAGTAAATAAGAGTGTGTGTGTGTGTGTGTGTGTGTGTGTGTGTGTGTGTGTGTGTGTGTGTGTGTGTGTGTGTGTGTGTGTGTGTGTGTGTGTGTCTGTCTAGGGAAAAGGAGATGACTATGTTGGTAAACTGGGTGATAGGAGAAGGGCAGGAGGAAGAGAGGGCAGGAGGAAGAGAGGACAGGAGACAGCACCAGGCTCACCACACCACAGACCCCCACCCTCGCACGACCAAGACACCAACCACCAACACTGACTTACGAACAAGTTGGCCGAATGTTTACATATTAATACCGACTCTCCGCCAGGCGAGAGAGAGGGGGGGATCGTTAGCCTGGTTGTTACGGGTTGCAGCGCTGCTACTAACGAGCCCTGCGGGGTGACGACCCTTAGGCCAGGGGAGACGAGGGGTGAGGGGAGTGGGGAGGGCTGTCTTATGCTCTCCACTCCCCCCCTCCCCCCCACAAAGCTATTTTTCTTATTCTCCTTGACAGCTCCGTGAACTGAGCCATCTGGGGCCAGTCAGACGATGGTGGGGGGGGGGGGGGACGCAAGAGGGGGGATTGGGGGGACATGTAGGGGGGGTGTCGCAGAAGGGGGGGCATGTAGGGGGGGAGAAGTAGGGGGAGAAAGATGAAAGAAAGAGAGGGGGGGGGGGTGTTGGAAGAGAGAAAAACAGTTGAAGAGGCAGCAATGTCGGTGTTTACCTTGAGGTAATAGCGGGGATCAATGGTAACCCGGGGCCCGGTCTCTGCATGACCAGGCTGTGGCAAACATCCCACGCCATGTTTCAACACGTCTTAATATGTATTCACCAGCCTTGACATAGCAGAACACGTCAATATTATGGTGCTTGTATTTGGGCTAGTACGTCGCAATTTTAACGCATTGCTCGATTTTCTTATTATTTTTAATTAGGCCTAGGATTGCTTAGACCTAAAATGATTAATTAGGCCTAGAATTCCTTAATTAGGCCTATAGGACAGGTTAGGCTTGGTTTATGGTTAGGCTTGCGTTTTTATCTATTTTTTTGTTAATTTCTACCAATGCGTTAAAAATGCGATGTGTTATTCAAATTAAAGCACCGGAATCTTGACGTTTTCTATGCATCGGCCTCGATAGGTTAGGTGGGTTGTTTGGGTTCGTTCAAGGCTGGTTATGCAAAGCGGTATGTGTGTATTTATTATTTGTGTCTGCAGAATCGAGCTCTTGGACCCCGCCTTTCTAACCAATATATTTTTCCTCTTATGTGTACTACATACATCTCTCTAACACACACACACACACACACACACACACACACACACACACACACACACACACACACACACACACACACACACACACACACACACACACTCACACACACACACACACACACCACACACACACACACACACACACACACACACACACACACACACACACACAGGGGAATTGACAAAGTGGAAATTGATGAAATGTTCACACGTAATAATAACAGAACGAGGAGACATGGGTGGAAACTGGAAACTCAGATGAGTCACAGAGATGTTAGGAAGTTTTCTTTTAGCGTGAGAGTAGTGGGAAAATGGAATGCACTTCAGGAACAGGTTGTGGAAGCAAATACTATTCATACTTTTAAAACCAGGTATGATAGGGAAATGGGACAGGAGTCATTGCTGTAAACAACCGATAGCTGGAAAGGCGGGATCCAAGAGTCAATGCTCGATCCTGCAAGCACAAATAGGTGAGTACAAATAGGTGAGTATACACACACACACACACACACACACACACACACACACACACACACACAATACACACACACACACAGGAAGCAGCTGTCTATCTCCCAGGTACCTATTTACTGCTAGGTGAACAGCCGCATCAGGGTGAAGGAAACTCTGCCCATCTCTTTTCGCTGGCTGCGGGGATCGAACCCCGGTCCCTAGGTCCACGAGTGTAAAGTGTAAACTCACCTACTTATACTCACCTATTTGTGCTTGCGGGGGTTGAGCTTTGGCTCTTTGGTACCGCCTCTCAACTGTCAATCAACTGGTGTACAGGTTCCTGAGCCTACTGGGCTCTATCATATCTTCATTTGAAACTGTGTATGGAGTCATCCTCCACCACATCACTGCCTAATGCATTCCACCTGTTAACTACTCTGACACTGAAAAAGTTTTTCCTAACGTCCCTGTGTGCGCGTGCGCGTGTGTACATACCCTCACTAATTATATTTGCACTGGTTGATTAACTCACACGTCATCACCCGAACCACCAGGAATAACAGCCCCTTCCCCACCATTTCTAAATGACCTTTTGCAAATGGACATTATGTTTGAATTCTACTTATTGACCGCCAAGTCGCCAAGACTTGCCACAGGGGGCGCCAAGACCCTTGCCACAGGGGGCGCCAAGACCCTTGCCACAGGGGGCGCCAAGACCCTTGCCACAGGGGCGCCAAGACCCTTGCCACAGGGGGCGCCAAGACCCTTGCTACAGGGGCGCCAAGACCCTTGCTACAGGGGCGCCAAGACCCTTGCCACAGGGGGCGCCAAGACCCTTGCCACAGGGGCGCCAAGACCCTTGCCACAGGGGGCGCCAAGACCCTTGCCACAGGGGGCGCCAAGACCCTTGCCACAGGGGGCGCCAAGACCCTTGCCACAGGGGCGCCAAGACCCTTGCCACAGGGGGCGCCAAGACCCTTGCCACAGGGGGCGCCAAGACCCTTGCCACAGGGGGCACCAAGACCCTTGCCACAGGGGGCGCCAAGACCCTTGCCACAGGGGGTGCCAAGACCCTTGCCACAGGGGCGCCAAGACCCTTGCTACAGGGGCGCCAAGACCCTTGCCACAGGGGGCGCCAAGACCCTTGCCACAGGGGGCGCCAAAACCCTTGCCACAGGGGCGCCAAGACCCTTGCCACAGGGGGCGCCAAGATCCTTGCCACAGGGGCGCCAAGACCCTTGCCACAGGGGGCGCCAAGACCCTTGCCACAGGGGGCGCCAAGACCCTTGCCACAGGGGGCGCCAAGACCCTTGCCACAGGGGGCGCCAAGACCCTTGCCACAGGGGGCGCCAAGACCCTTGCCACAGGGGGGCCGGAAGAATAGCTAGCAACAATGTTTGCGGCTTGGCGCCAAAATCTGATAATTAACTAATCCCACGAAATCTAATCCTATTTATTCTTATCTTACTTAATGTAATCCTATGTAATTTAATCCAATTAAAAACTGAATAAATGTATTGACCTGAAAATAATCACCTTGAACTTAAATGGCCATAGACACGTGCCTCGACCCCCCTTTAAAGAGGCAAGGGAAGGGGGCTCGACTCCCTTAGAGGAACAAGGGAAAGGGAGCTAGTCGACCCTTAACCGACGCTGTTTAACCTTTTTGAGACGGTTACTATAACCCCTTCACACGATAAATGACAATTAAGGGTAATGGTTCAATCCCTTATATAGACTGTCTTGACCCTTAAAAATAAGGTATATTTAACCCCATATAATCCACAGGTCGTGGCCGTTCGGTCTTTCCCTTCTGTTTGCCCTTTACCTCCTCTCTTCTCCTCCCCCTCTTTTACCCTCTTCCCCCCTCCCTCTTTTCTCCCCCCCCCTCACCCTCCCCCCTCTTCTACTCTCTTCCCCCTCCCTCTTTTCTCCCCCCTCACCCTCCCCCTCTTCCCCCCCTCCTCTTTTCTCCCCCCCTCACCCTCTCCCCTCTTCTACCCTCTTCCCCTCCCTCTTTTCTCCCCCCTCTTCTACTCTCTTCCCCCTCCCTCTTTTCTCTCCCTCCCCCCCCCAGGCCCGTGCCACCGGGCCGGTCGTTAGTGGTGACCGCCACAAAGAGGTGAGAGCCAATTACCATACGAGGGTCGTAAACCAATGCTTCTGAAGACAGAGGGTGTCAGGCCAACCACCCACCCACGACCCGACCCGGCCGGCTCGCGGGCTGGCTGGTAGACGGGCTCGCGGGCTGGCTGGTAGACGGGCTGGCTGGCTGGCTGGCTGTCTGACTGGCTGGCTGGCTGGCTGGCTGGCTGGCTGGCTGGCTGGCTGGCTGGTTGGCTGTCTGACTGGCTGGCTGTCTGACTGGCTGGCTGTCTGGCTGGCTGGTTGGCTGGCTGTCTGGCTGGCTGGTTGGCTGGCGGGCTTCCAACAAAAACTCATTTCGCTTCAATATATTTACTGCTATTTCTCGTTTAATATTATACGACTTTTCGTTCGCATGGGATTCTTTCGAACACTTGCTTGTTCGATATCCGAACAGTTGTCTCGTTCGACCTATCTGTCTATATCTAAGGCTGGTAGGATCTAGATCTAGTTCCGGATCAGCCGGGCTGTGGTGGGTATGTGGCTTTTCGGGCCGCTCCAAGCAACAGCCTGGTGGACCAAACTCTCACAAGTCGAGCCTGGCCTCGGGGAGTAGAAGAACTCCCAGAACCCTATCTGGTTGATACCTGGTTGAGGTATCAAGCAGGTATCAAGCAAGCTGTCTCAACCTGCCAGTCGTTAACAACATTACAATGGCCCACACCTAGATACACCTGTACACACCTATACACACCTGTAGGGTGATGACGATTGGGGCCTGTGTGGGAGGATTGGGGGAAGGAGAGTGGGTGAGAGGAAGGGAGAGTAAGAAGAGAAATAGGGAGAAGAAATGGGTATAAATCCTCTCCCAAATCAACCCGAAAATTATGAACCTATTAAATATAGCGAAATATTCTTAAATATTAATTAAAATGGAAACCTATAAATATAATCCCCTTACCCCCCCCCCCCCCCCACCACCACCACCGATTACAAAAATCCCCATTCACAACCCCCCCCGGTTACTCCCCCCCCCCATTCTCCCCTAAACTTTCATTTCATACCCCTTTTACCCCCCCCCCCAACCACTTCCCCCAATCCCTCTTTCTCTCATCTTGTGTTACTAAGGGGGAATATTTTTCACTTGAAAATTTGCGTGATGTCTCCAGATATTCCAACAAATTAGGTCTTTAAAGTCATACCCACTAATTGTACAAGTTGAGTAACACCTTTCCCGATATTCCCTCGTCTCCCCCTCCCACCGATATTCCCTCGTCCCCCTCCCACCGATATTCCCTCGTCTCCCCCTCCCACCGATATTCCCTCGTCTCCCTCCCACCGATATTCCCTCGTCTCCCTCCCACCGATATTCCCTCGTCCCCCTCCCACCGATATTCCCTCGTCCCCCTCCCACCGATATTCCCTCGTCTCCCCCTCCCACCGATATTCCCTCGTCTCCCTCCCACCGATATTCCCTCGTCTCCCCCTCCCACCGATATTCCCTCGTCTCCCTCCCACCGATATTCCCTCGTCTCCCTCCCACCGATATTCCCTCGTCTCCCTCCCACCGATATTCCCTCGTCTCCCCCTCCCACCGATATTCCCTCGTCCCCCTCCCACCGATATTCCCTCGTCCCCCTCCCTCCGATATTCCCTCGTCCCCCTCCCACCGATATTCCCTCGTCCTCTCCCTCCCACCGATATTCCCTCGTCCCCCTCCCACCGATATTCCCTCGTCCCCCTCCCACCGATATTCCCTCGTCCTCTCCCACCGATATTCCCTCGTCCCCCTCCCACCGATATTCCCTCGTCCTCTCCCACCGATATTCCCTCGTCCCCCTCCCTCCGATATTCTCTGCCCTCCCCTTTCTTTTCAATATTTCCTCTCTCACATTTCTCCATCCCTCAATATCTTTCGGTTCTAAATAGCACACACGCACGCACACACAAATACCCCCCCCCCCAAACCCCCCCCACCCACAAACACCCCCACCCACACCCACAAACCCCCACCCACAAACACCCCCACCCACAAACACCCCCCACCCACAAACACCCCCACCCAAAAACATCCCCCCACCCACAAACACCCCCACACACAAATATCTCCCCCCCCCCACAAACATCCCCACCTCAAACACTCCCACACACAAACACCCCCCCCCCACAAACACCCCCCCCCACACACAAACACCCCCCCCCACACACACAAACACCCCCCCACACACACACACAAACATCACCCCCCCCCCCACACAAACACCGCCCCCCACAAACACCCCCCCCCCCCCCCCCCACACACACACAAACACCCCCCCCCCCCACACACAAACACCCCCCCCACCCCACAGCCCCCCCGCTCATAAGACTCCCACAGGGAGTTAAACAGCGATCAAGTCCAGAGGCGCGTCAAGGAGTGTAGGGCATCAGAGGGTCGTTAAGGCCTCGTCACACGTGTTAACAACGGCTTGTCTTCCAAGTCCTCGTTTCGTACTATTTTCTTCTCTTTGGTGTCCACTTACGAAACCTGTACATCCTTCCTTGATCCTTGAAGATTACTCTGTATTAATTAGAGTTTACCAGCTTTTAAACTTCACAACCCGAGGTTATTTTGGTCCATTTGTTTCCGCCTCCATCGGGGATCGAACCCGGAACCTCAGGACTACAAATCCGAAGCGCTGTCCACTCAGCTGTCAGGCCCCTATAGTTCAGTACATATTTTAAAAGCGTTGTAGAAACTATTTGCACGAACGTACGAAAATGATCTGTTGCAGCCGACAGTGTTCAAGGTGTGTACTATTTTAGGAGGTACTGGGCTGACGACCGGGCCGCGGGAACGCTAAGCCCCGGAAGCACCTCAAGGAAGCACCTCAAGGAAGCACCTCAAGGAAGCACCTCAAGGTAGGTACTAAACAAATACAAACTTGACCATTCTTAGGCCTAGTATGGGACAATTATTAGGCTTAAGACAGCGTATAATAGGCCTAAGGTTGCTTCAACGAGTTGTACAACTATACAATATTGTGGAGGGGGGGGGGGTTGTGGGTATGGGGGGAGTAGGGGAGTAGGGGTGTGTGTGTGTGTGTGTGAGAGTGGTGAGTGTGGGAGGGAGGTGGGGGGGGGGATTTGCGTGTGTGTGTTTTTGTGTGTTTGAGTTCACATGTGTGTTTGCGTTCACATGTGTGTTTGAGTTCATTTATGTGTTTGACTTCACATACACATGCCCCCACATACACGTGTATACACACTACCATTCCCCCCGTGAATTACCCAACTCAACAATATATTAATTACAGTCCAAAGCTTCAAGCCCAACACACCAAGACTCGAGTGTTTAATAAAGCATATCCAACAGCTAACCAAAGGAGGTAATACACAGTCATACACACACAGGAACGGTTATACTCATACTCTGGTAATACATTGATTCCAAAACGTTAAATCTTATGCTTACCAGGACACACACACACACACACACAGGGGGCTTGGTGGCTGAGTAGACAGCGCTCGGTATTCGTAGTCCTAGGGACCGGGGATCGATCCCCGGCGATGGCGGAAACAAATGTGAAGTTTCTTTCACCCTGATACCCCTATTCACCTAGCAGTAAAGCAGTAAAGGTACCTGGGAGTTTGACAGCTGTTACAGGCTGCTTCCAGGGTGTGTGTGTGTGTACTCACCTAGTTATATTTGCGGGGGTTGAACTCTGGCTTTTTGGTCCCGCCTCTCAACTGTCAATCAACTGGTGTACAGATTCCTGAGCCTATTGGGCTCTATCATATCTATATTTGAAACTGTGTATGGAGTCAGCCTCCACTACAACACTACTTAATGCATTCCATTTGTTAACTACTCTGACACTGAAAAAAATCTTTCTAACATCTCTGGGGCTTATCTGGGTACTCAGTTTCCACCTGTGTCCCCTTGTTCGTGTTCCACCCGTGCTAAAGAGTTTGTCTTTGTCCACCCTGTCAATTCCCCTGAGAATTTTGTAGGTGGTTATCATGTCTCCCCTTACTCTTCTCTTTTCCAGGGTTGTGAGCTTCAGCTCCCTTAGCCTTTTCTCGTAACTCATTCCTCTTAGTTCCGGGACTAGTCTGGTGGCATACCTCTGAATCTTCTCTAACTTCGTCTTGTGTTTAACTAAGTTTGGACTCCAGGCTGGAGCTGCATACTCCAGGATTGGTCTTACGTAAGTGGTATACAGGGTCCTGAACGATTCCTTACACAAGTTTCTAAAGGCAGTTCTTATATTGGCCAGTCTAGCATATGCCGCTGATGATATTCTTTTGATGTGGGCC